ACCTGATCTCTTCCTGGCCCAGTGCTCCAAGCTCTGTTAGATTCTCTTCCCTTCTCCTCCGCTTCCCCGTTACGTGATCACATCCACTCCCCTGACTTGGAATACCACATGCCAGTGACTCCCACATCCATCTCTCTCACCTTGACCTCCTCCCTGAGCTCCAGTCTCCTACAGTCACTTGCCAACTTGGCATCTTCACCTGGATGACAACAGGCATCCCACACTGATTATGTCCAAAACAGAATTCCGTTTTCGTCCTGAGCCAAACCCAATTCTCTAGTTGACCTAATTTTAGAAAATGATACTACCATCCTCCTGTTGCTTAAATAAATAACTTAATACAGTATGTAAGTATATATTTATGTGAGTATACTTTTTAGTTCTGTATTGCTTACAGGTCTGTAAGCTCCATGAAGACAGAGGCAGTGGCTCTTTGTTCACCATTGAATATCCAGTACTTAGCACAGTGCATGTAATAGATAAGCAACAAATATTTGAATGAACGAATGAATACAAAGAAGAATAAAATGTAATTCTTGGTTTTAAGTTACCTACAGTTTTGTTAGAAAACTCAAACATCCAGGTGTATTGCTAAAGACTATAAAAGAAGTGTCAAAGTAAGTAGTAATGCTTTGGGAGTTAAGAGGCAGGATGATTAGGGAAAACTACATGGAGACAGTGGGGATGGGTCAGTTTTAGATGGGTGAAGACAAGCGTGAGCATAATAGCAAGCACAGGCCTGAAGTGAAACCTGAGCTGTTCAGGAGATCCTGAGACCACTGCAATTTCAGAAGCTGTTTAAGGAAACAAGCCAGCCTTTCCCTTTGGATAATTTGATTATGGACCTATTGGGAGAGAGAATACACAGCAATCCTACAGCAAATGGGAAGAACTTTGTAGCAATCGCACTGACAGATACCCTAAGGAATCAAGTGTTTTATACTCAGTCTTTTATTTGGGCATTTGTATAAACAAAATTATGCTAAATGTGAACTTTGGCATAAGAATGATCAGAAAAATTTTAACAATTTATTTTGAAAATCATTTTGTTTGCAGTTGAAGAGCTCACTCATTATGCTTCAGAGAACCTTCGACCTACTAAATAAAAATAAGACCGGCATGGCTGTGGAGAGCCGGTGATCTTAAGGACTGAAATTGGAGAGATACTTGGGACTAGAAGAAAACATACAGGAGAAAACCAGAGGGCGGATGAAGAATTTTAATCCTTACAGGAGCTTTTCCATATTTTCTCATTATTGGTACTTCTAATATGGACATTCTTTTAAATAACACTTATTTCATGATTAGTCTCCAGTGGCCTTAAGAATCCATCCTTTTGCTTCTTATACATAATTCTAAGCTGTGAATTTCTCCAGTGAAGCATGAACTACATTGTGGAACTGAATTTCTGTGATGCGAAAGAAAATGAGATGCCTTGGCCTCGTTTTTACAGGGAGGTTTGAAGTTTGATACTTTATCTGTTAGCGCACAATCAGTATGTGTCCAATTGGCTGCTTTCACAGTTGAGATACATTCAAGAGGCTAAAGACAATCAATAGAAGAAGAAACCTCTAAACCATTACGAATTTTGAAGGATTAGTTTTCAGGCATATTACATTTCTAGGTTCGCATACTGTAAATATTACAATGTCTTCATTTATTCAGCATGCAAATTCAGTAGGCTTTTTGACTCTGCATATTGATAATTATCTGAAAAGTTCTTCAGCCATGTTGTATCTTCATGAAGTAAAGTTTCTTCCTCAGGTAGCTATCAGAGGTGAGATTATCTTGCCTCTTCATACATCAAGTGAAGAGTCAGTTTCAGAAAAGGAAATATGTAGGATACCAACATTCAAAATGAAGAATCATGCTCTGAGTTTTAAAAACCAGAAGGTTACGTTAAAATCTGGGCATTTAGTGATCAAATAAATACTTGAACTAAGCTTGGCTTCAGCTTAGCCATCTAATTTGTGGATTAGTTTTCAATAGCCACCTATAGCTTCATTTATTCCTTCATGTGTGTGGCTTGTTTTAGTTGTAAGACGGAAACTTCACCTCTTTAATAAAACCTCTGGGTACATTATCTTCCAATACAAGTGTAGTGACTGAACTAAGTCAGATACAAGCATTGGCTCTTTCAGAAAAAGATTTTAGGCATGTATGTCTCAATACAAGCGATGTCTCTGGAACAAGAGAAAGACAGTGCAGAATAATTTGTATTCGTACTGTTTCAACAACTGTTGCCTTTAAATCCCCCCAGTCACCACAGCCACAGGGGATAGCTAGTCATTTTTGAGATGCCTGTAGAGAATTAAAGTATTGACTCCATTAGAGGGAAAATGGGTTTCCTTGAGGGAGTCCCAACTCACCTACTCTGTGGAACCAGTGTACCTACCTGGGTTTTTTGTTTTTGTAAGGATTTATGAAGTGTCTGGTTGTGAGCAAGAGTGACTGGATTATAAACTTGAAACCTTGTCCTCTCAAATTCACAAAAACGACCAGTGACAAGCTGAATATTTTTGAGATGTTTCTGTAAAACTTGTCCTTCATTGCATACCTCAAAGAAAACGACCAAAGTTGCTTTATAAATTACGACTAAATATGTATGTATGCAGAATTCAATCACTTGTATTTGAGTGTACTACAAATTGAATATCAATAAAACCCAAAATCTGAATTGTCGTTTTTCTTCCTTTTCTGTTTGAAAAAAACAAACACCAAAAAAGTAGTGAAAACACGTGCATGGTTTCACTATTTTTACAATTTTGTGTAAAAACCAAAGAGGACTCTCAGATCAATTTCATTTTAAAAGTGCATACTGCTGGAACAAAAACACTAGACCTGCGGGTCTAACGGGGAGACTTGCTCAACAGAAATAAAAACAAACGAACAAGTTGAGAAATGACCAGATCAAGGGCGGCTACGGGCCTTTAAGGGAGGCTCGCGAATTTGGAGCGGTACCTCGGCGGCCTCCGGCGGCGGAGCGCTCCCCGGCGCCTGTTGCGGGCGTCTGAACGAGCGCGAGCGGACCCACGGCTTTCGCGCACTTTGGGGATCCCTGGGGTTCTCGGGTTTCCCAGGTTTCCATCTCCGCCCCTCCCCCGGCCAGGGCTCC